ATATATATATATATAAATTACGTTAATTTAGATATTATAATGTTATATATTAGAATTTATTATCATATAGTCGGAATTTAGAAAATATTATATTATAAATTATTAATATAATATTTATATTTATTATCTACTAACAAAAATATACATTAATTAATATAACGATTAATAGGTATATTTTCAAATAATACTTATTCGAGAAATAATTTTTTTTTTCTAATACAAACTGAATTTCAAATAATGTAAAAAATAATTTTACATAATAATCAATTCTAATTTATAAATAATAATTTTTAAGTTCTAATTTATAACAAGAAAATTTCTAAATTCTAACATAATTTCTATAACAAATTAAATTTGATTTGTAGAAGAAAAAAAAAAATCTGGCCGGCCGGTGGTACCGGCCGTCCACGCGATTAGTAGGCCGGAGATACCTGCCGGCCGGATTTTTTTTAGTGCTTTGAAAAATTGTTAGGGGCAAAAAAGTCCAAATGGGTGGTAGATAGTAAAAGGGGCAGTCGTGTTTTTGGCCGGAGATAGTAAAAGGGCCGCCTTGCTGTCACAGAAGAGAGAAACAGGAGATAGATGATCAACACCAAAACAACTCAAAAGGGACTTCAACCATAACAGCTCACAAGTGGTAGAGGCCATGGAGCGATATTCTGCTTCAGCGGAAGAGCGAGACACGGTAGGCTGCTTCTTCGTCTTCCAGGAGATAGGCGATGAACCGAGTTGAATGAGCCAACCAGTGAGAGAGCGACGCGTAAGAGGACAACCTGCCCAATCAGAGTCGCACCAAGCAGTAAGACGTAAGTCGGAATCGGCCCGAAAGAAAATGCCTTGACCAGGACTTCGTTTCAAATACCGCACAACCCGAAGAGCAGCATCCCAATGAGCCTGGAGAGGATTGTGCATAAACTGAGACAAAACATGGACAGAATAAGATAAGTCAGGTCGAGTGACAGCAAGATAAATAAGTCTGCCAACCAAACGCCTGTACTTCTGTGGATCGGAGAATGGAGGTCCAGTGACAAGCGAAAGCTGGTGATTCTGCTCAAGGGGAAAGGAGGTTGGTTTAGCCCCGAGAAACCCAACCTCGGATAATATGTCAAGAGAATACTTCCGTTGGCATAGGAAAATGCCAGAGGAATTGCGAGCAACTTCCAGACCCAGAAAATATTTCAAAATTCCAAGATCCTTCATATGAAAGCAATGACTTAAATAAGCCTTGAAGGAAGAGATGGTGCCACTGTTATTGTCGGAGATGATCAAATCATCAACATAGACGAGAACGTGCAGCCGAAGACCGTCACGACACAAGGTAAAAAGAGAATAGTCGGCATAAGATTGACGAAAGCCATATTGTCGAAGCGCCGTAGTAAGTTTTGCAAACCAGCATCGGGGAGCTTGCTTAAGACCATATAAAGATCGTTTCAAACGGCAAACAAGGTCAGACGTCTTAGACCGAAAACCAGGAGGCAGTCTCATATACACCTCTTCATCAAGATCACCGTGGAGAAAAGCATTGTGAACATCCATCTGATGCAATTCCCACTGTCGGGCAGCAGCAACAGCAAGAAAGGTGCGTACAGTCACCATTTTGGCGACCGGAGCAAAGGTCTCAGTATAGTCTACGCCTTCGACCTGATTGTTCCCGAGGATAACCAGACGAGCTTTATAGCGTTCAATAGACCCATCAGATCGGTGTTTAATACGGAACACCCATTTACATCCAATAGCCTTTTTACCAGGAGGAAGGGGAACAAGATTCCAAGTATGGTTATTCTCAAGGGCTTGAATTTCAGACTGCATGGCAGAGCGCCAATTAGAATCCTCCATGGCTTCGGTAAAAGTCCGTGGCTCGACAGAGGTGTCAAGCGCTGCCAATAAAGTCTTATGGGCAGAAGAGAAATTAGTACTGTCAACAAAATGAGCTAAGGGATAAGGAGTACCTGAGGACGATGAACTGGTCGACGAGTGAACAGGGGGGGTAATAGTACTGGCAACGTGGTCTCGCAGTCTGACTGAGGGAAACTTTGTTCGATGGCCACGGCCCAAGAGCTCAGTATCAGGGCCCTTTTGGACCTCAGTAACCCCAGAGGGAGAAATGGCCGGCACAGAATCAAGAATAGATGATGACTCATCATCAATAGCAGGCCATGGTGAAGAAGAAACAAGCGGTACAGAATCAGACCCAGAAGTAGGGCAAGTAGAAAAAGGAAATTGGCCTTCAAAGAATTTAACATCCCGAGAGACGAGAAACTCCCGAGTGTCAAGATCAAAAACGGACCAACCCTTCTTCCCAAAAGGATAGCCCACAAAAATGCACTTTCTGCTACGACTGGCAAATTTATCCCCCGAACGATCCAAATTGTGAACATAGCACAAGCAGCCAAAAACACGAAGATGCTCAAAACATGTAGGTGTGAAAGACCTAACCTCATCCACTATTACATAATTTTTAAACAAAAATAAATCATTACTGCGTATAATCAATTAATTAAACGCAATTACCCATCAGCATCAGATATTTATAGATCTTCTGATAACATGTAGTATCACATTTTTATTTATAAATCAACAGACTCCTTCAATTGTAATTGAATAATTATTACAGTTGCCATTAGCAAAAATGAAATACTTTGTCACAACAATTACTCATAAAATGCTACACGATAAAAGTTCAATAAAAAACGTTGAATTTCGACGCGTAAAAGGCAGCCACCGGGGGTCATTGACCTGAGTGAACTCCAGTTTACTCCATTGTTTTGTTATTCATTCAATAGAGATATGAAAAGGAAGAAAAAAAAAAAGGCAAAAATACTCTGTTTTCTGCAAAAATTTTAAGCATGGCAGTGATCATAACATGCTAAGCTGTTGCAGTCCGTTTCTCCTCATTCTCATCGAGATTCAATGCTTCAAGCAATTTAGGCCAAGATTCTGGGATACCGCCTGGCAAATCAAATTCCAGCAGTTTTCCGAAGCCACGATAAAAGTCCTCCACAGGTTGACTCTGCATAATCCATAATACAATGGTTATAATGTGCATTTAGATCGCGTCTGAATAAAATATTTGTGCTTGACCAAAAAAAAAAAGTGAATTTCGCAATATAAAGCGTAAGAAAAAGGCTTTACCTTTTCATTATAGATGCGAAGTCTTTCTTTCACAATAGTCTGGGTATCATCAGAGCGAGTAATGAGCTTCGAGACACACTGTGAAGGAGGAAGAAGTGGGGCCATACTAATATCAGGATTCCCGTTTTCTCCCTTCACGTTGATTGACGCTACATTGAAGTTCTTCCCACATTTGCTGCAAATCCTTCTCCCGAGGCATTTCTCTAGTAGCACGTTTTCTGGGAGTTTGAGGTTTACCACCAGATCAATGTCTGTCACCTCATGCAGTATTTCCTGACACATGTGAAATAACAAAACCGCTCAACATTGCACGTGTTCTTCAAATACAGGTTGCTACGCCATGTTTAAGAACATTGAATTGAAAAACCAACTTGCTTACCCAACACTTACGAGTAATGTCAACAACAAATAGCAAATGGCAGATATAACAGATCTATATGGGATTAACGACGCAAAGTTCGGTGATATGAGTCGTGTATACCATCTATTACACGTCGAAATACAGCATACCACAACTGTAAACATAACCTATAGTTCATTTTTTACGTGAATACCATAAAATGGCAACAAAATGCTATTAGTAGCTACTGTGGTAACCAAATTCCTCTCAATTCATAAATCTCAAAAGACAATGAAGCTGACAAATGTATACTACAGCGGGATTGAATTCAGTGGTGAACATAGAACCATGGTGTAACAAGCTGAATTCATTTTAATTTTGCTATTGCCACTCACCCCTGCCACAAACTTCATACCACCCTTAACAAATAAATTTTTACTTACCGCTTGTCTAACTGTGCGAGGAAACCCGTCAAGTATAAATCCCGATTCTCCTCTCGATTCACCCATCTCAAGCCTCTTAGACAGTAAGTTTATAATGATTTCATCCGATACCAATTTACCGTGGTTCACAACATCTGCAAGCTGCAATAAAGGACCCAAATATACCCTTTTAATCAATTGGTAGAATGGAGAGAGACAAGAAGAAAAAGAACTATACCCTTTTAACCATAGGCCCCAAATGCAGATTATGTGCTTACAAATCACAATCATCACAACTTCGCAAGAAAAAAAACAATATCTTTTCACATTAGCTTACTCTCATGTAAGAACTTTTCAAAACAGCCGTAATAGGATTTTAAGTTTTAAACCAAGTTCACTTCCAAAGGTACAACATATACAACAGGTAAATCTAGTTTACGTCCAATTCGTGCCTACTGCCCACGCTAGGTTTCTTACCTTTGAATCAACACACACCAATGTGGGTGGGTGGGTAGGTGGGTGTGACAATATGCATACTTTCACTTAATACCAAAGCTCACCACCCTGACAGATCTCAATTCCAAATCCACATATACGATGACAAACTCAAAAGTTCCAAGAATATAATCCCAGTTACAAATTTTTCTAAAAACTACTCTCCCAACATTTGCAAGTCCACAAAATACAGTCGTGACAGAAATGCCAAAGTAATATTCTACTGAATGTAACAGATCCTAACACCTTCCATTACAATTCGCCCAAGTTCCGATCAAAGTCCAACTCCTTATCAGTTATCACCAGCCAAATTACTCACCTGCTTCGACAGAGGACCAGACGAAGACAGCTCCTCGCGAACCAGATCGCCGGTGGCTATGTGCGGAACGCCGAGCAGCGCCGACAGCCGGCTGGCGTACGTACCCTTTCCGACGCCGGGGCACCCCAGGAACACCCACTGGAAGCTCCTGCGTTTGGGATCCGCGCGAGGGGGAGGGGAAGGCTGCGATCTCAATTCGTCGGCGGCGGCGGCTGCGTTGGATAACGACCTCCAGGCGAAGCAGGCGGCGGCTGCGGGGGACGAGGACGATGATCGCAGGAGGCGGGCGACGGCCGCCATTGGTGGTGGTGGAGTTGTGGTGCTGGGAGAAGGGATTCCACAGAACAAAAGGTGCTGAAAAGAGGAAAGACGATTCGGGGATTTGAACTTTGGTTTTTGGGACGATGTGTAATTTTGTAGGCGATACAAAAATAAAATAAAATAAAATAAAATAAAATAAAATAATAATTGGGGGATGGGAATATTTTATAGAGATCTCATATTTTTTTTTTTCCCAACAATAGAAGAAGTTCCGATAAAAACCGGCAAAAGCCGCCACAATACAATGTATTAATACAAGCCGCACACGAGCCTACCAAGGCTAAAGAACACACTGAGAGGCACATCATAAGATCCCATTTGTTGGATCGAGCATTTATGTGTTCACCATAGAGGAAGTGTTTGTACCTAGGACTATCAAATGAAATGAGTTGGTTGTGAATTCGATTTATAAGCTCATATAGTTCATGAATTGAGTTCAATCTACAAAAATTATCTTTTTATGTAGCATCTTTATAGTTGGACTCGATAAAATTCGAGTTCGTAATGGACTGAAACTAATTGCAAGTACGTTAAGTTAACGTGCTAAACTCGGCTTTTTAAAAGTGTCGAGCTTGAGTATGATGAGCTTAAATCCCGCTCAACTTGTTTATAGTCGTGTTAATTAGTTGTTATTTATTGTACTAGTAATGATTATTGTAGAGTAATTAAAGATATTATAATAAAAAATATAAGTTATATGTTATAATTTGAATAGTGTTAAAACTTACATTTTTTACTTTTTTTTCAAATGTGACTCATCAGACTTGTTCGTCTTATATTATAACAATTTTTTACCGTCTCATATTTACCATCGTCATCCTCATCCTCCAGCTCTACCTAGAGACATTCATGTTACTAAGCAAGATGTCTTCTACACCAACACAATCTATTCCATCCAGTCTCAGTATCCTCCATGACATCTCATGCATCCTCGACTACACGATATTCAACCTGAATATGGACACAATAGAGAAACGCATGGTCGATCGACTAATTTTCAGCAACAATGGCGCATGATCGATTGCACCAAAATGAGGATTAACATGAGAGCAACCCCTCCCAACATCGCCAATACGAGTTAATTTCTAGTTATATAATTGATTTTCCCCATGTAACTGTAACTACCGGAGGCCAGTTGGATGTTGCTACACAATTATTCCTCTACAAAATAAAAAATGGAATTGGAGCTTCTAGTATTAGCCTTCGTCGACAACGACTTGTAAGAGCTCAATATTTGTCCATATAAGGTTGCGGATTGAATAACATGTTGCACGATAGTCGAATTTGGTGACGCCTACATTATGGCTCCAGACTAGACCGAACGATGAGGATAAGTACAAGATTTTAGAACAATGATCAATAATTGAGACGGATATCAACACGGTTCTGAACCTACTAAAGGAGGATTTCATGAAGACGAGGGGTGGAGTTGAATCAATGGTGAGGTTGAGTAGAAGGTCGAGATACATACATTGCGCTCATTTGATTTCACTATTTGACGGAGGTTCATTTGTTGTTGAAGTTTCAAACAACACGATTAAACTTGAGTTGTGAGTGAATGATTAGCATGTTAATTATAGTTTACTGGTTTTTTCGTGAAAAAAGAAATAGACTTGGTGTTTGTCCTTTTTTTTTGTATTTTTTGTTATTGTTTTGCATTTGTTTTTCTCCTATTTTAGGTCTTTTCGTTGGTTTTTGGTCCGTTTTGTTGCGTGTTTACTTTTATTTTGGTTTTTTTCAGTGTTTTATATTGTTTTCTCCGTTTTTGTGTGTTTTCTGTGATTTTGGTTGTAGAAGAAGTTAGAGACTTAAATACCCTTTTTCTAGTTATTGATAAAAAAGTTTCATCCCATGTCGTGCCACAGAGATCTCGTGACCCGCGGGAACTCCACTGCCCTTGGAGGATTAATGGGATCGAATATTTACCTTGGGAACCATCAACGGATCAGGATTAAGAATCACTTAGATGAAGAGTTTTGAATGATATAACTCTATAGGGGTTCGTTGGGGACACGTAGGAGAAAACGATACTCAATTCCGAGTTTGGACGAGCTCAAACAAGCCCGAAACGTAAAGTCACGCATAACAGCCCGCACCCAGGAGCCGCGGCGCGGCACAACTCGCGGCACCCCTCGCGCCCCAACAGGGATCTGCTACAACACTAGGAAGACCCGCCACGGCCCGGCACCCCTCGCTCAGCGGCATCATGCAGAACCAGAACTTATAAAGCCACGTTTTTGCTCATTTTTTCGAACACTTTTCATGGGGACTTGTTCCCAACCCTAGGAAAACACCTCTTAAAACATTGAATTTTCATCTTGGATTGATCTTGGAGAGTGACACTCTAAGATTTATTTTCAGATTAAGCTTGTAACTCGGATTTGTCACTTTGTTTCATATTAATCGTAAGTACTCATTTTCATTTAATTGATGAATTTGATGGCTTGGGTTAATGAGATTATGTGTGTTGGATTCAATATAATTAGATAAATTCATTTGGTAGGGATATGGGATAATTGTTCTTGTTCGTTCGTATTTGTCAGACTTTGATTTATTTGTTCTTGTGTGAGTTGATTTAGATTAGGGCTTGATGAATTATTGCTTGACTGATTGATATAACTGAAGGATGACACTTCGATATTGCGATTGGAAACGATTTGATATTGTTCTTTCGAGTTAGTGTTTTGTTAATACTAGATTAGTTGATTAATCATCTTCTAATTTAATTTAGCAACTTTTAGAACTGAAATGGAGAAGTCGGTTGATCTAGGCTCGATTAGATTAGGCTTGTTCGTAATTTTATTGCATACGTGTTGTTTGATTTGTTTGATTTGTCGTCTATGTTTACCCTATTGTTACGAATAGTTATTGAGAATTAATCTCTAGACGTGTAGGTTGTTCGAATCAATTAACTGAAGGATCTTTGCTTGGTATTTGCATTTGAATTGAGGTCAATCATCCCCGATTCCCTAGCCTTCTCGTACTTCTAAGAAACTCGTTTTAATTGATAATTGCTATTTATACTGCTTTAGAATTCATAGTCGATAATCGAGACCTAACCTATTGAATTAGAATGTTTAGAATTTTCTTTTCTCTTTTCGTGTGATTGAATATTTATACAATTAATCTGACTAACCTTTCTTGAGACACGACCTGGGGATTGAATCTTTCAATTATACTCTGGTAAAAATATCTACAACACTTGGTTTGAGGAGGGCATGTGTTGATGGTTTACTGGATTTTTCGTGAAGAAAACCGGTGCGACTGAATATGCGTTAGAAAGGTAACTCCCTCCCCTACGACACCAAAAAAACCGGGTCGACCTTTTAAACAGCCCGCTCGCTTCCAATAGGCTTGGTTTTTTTTTTT